GCCAAAAGTATGAACTTCTAACTTCAACCAACTGACATCGAAATGTAATGATTATATCGTCAATTTACTTGGACTAGTGGTTATATTATAACTTGATTGATAAGATGTAGTCAACACTCGTAAGAATTGATAAATATGACATTTATTATCAATCAGTTACTAACCTTATTTAGTAAAATACTGTTGAGGCATTCCTAACCATAATGAATTTTATTGAAATAACCAAACTCAATAATTTCCACAATCCCATAATGAAAATTATCATGTGCCCACTCGTGGTTCAAAATTCTTGGAGTTGCAATGAGATGTCGTGATAAGTAGATTTCAAACGTGTCGGGTATGAGACAGTTACCCACCGAAGACAATGGTTAAGGTCACGCAATTTAGTGAACTGATTTAAGTTAAACAATTACACAGTTGGATAACAGCCGTGGTCTAGAGGTTGAGCGTTCGCGCACGAGATTCAAGGTCTCAGGTTTCGATTTCCATGGTCAGGGTCTTTGATGTGCACTGTTGATGAGTACCATACTAGGATGATATGGCCGTCCATTGCTTGTAGGTTTCTTATGCTGGTCTAACATTGATTAATTCATGAAATCAATAAGATATAATAGTTAACTACTTCTCAAACTGATGTGTTAATTTTAACAAAGGCTACAATTTATTTCGAAACTTTGTTTTAAATTTTACATTCATCTGAGACATGCCTATCATCATTTTTTTTAAAACTTAATTTAAATATTCACTACACTTTACTGAATTAGTTTCTCACTACATTCTAACCTACTTAATTTTTATAAGTATGACAAAACTTTAATTCATTTGTATCGATTGTTAAAGTCTTTCCATTGATGCTTAGGATTGTAATTGATTGGTCTCATTTGGCATATATATATATATATATCCCTTAGTGCTAGAGATAGTAGAAGTATATATATATATACTTCTACTATCTCTAGCACTATGGGATTTGAACTGACAGTTGAGTCTTTATGCTAATGCGATATGGCAACCTGAACTGATATACGTGCGTACGAAGTTCTGCGTTGTATCTGTCTAACTGTCATATGTACATCCTGTGCGGATTGGCTCGATAGATAGCCATTAGATCAGAAGCATTATGAATAGAAACAGATACTGGCTAACAATCGAATGGAGGACTGATTAACTGCAGTCCGAACTGTCAATGAGAAGATTGAAATAACCAAATGCAAATGTATAATGATTCTCTTCATTGCATAGCAGATAAGTGGATTAGCCGATGTTACTTGAAGCGAAGCGTATCGGGGTTTAAGTCTCAGAGTGAATATTAACTCTGAGATGCAGGTACTTGTAGTTGACGAGTTCCAGATGGGACATAACGCGCCTTGAGAAGCTCAGGTGGATGATTATGGTTGCTGTCGACCTTAAGATCGAGGTGAGCAGAACAAGCTACAACAGGTCAAACATGGAGAAATTCGAATGCTTCACTTCTTCTAACTGAAGTATGTGCTGATGATGTTGTTCAGTAGAAGAACAACGAAAGCTCCATAACCAAAACACCCAGCTCAGAGAACCAAACACCACCACCACAGAACGTGCCTTCTGGATTCCACTGCTAGCCACTATCCATCTCTACTCATATGGAACCTTTATTGAAATTTTTTACTTTAAAATAGACGACTGACAGTGTTGTTCTTTTCAGATCATTGCTTTTTGTTCTCATCAATTTGTATGAGATGTTCAGTTTTTGTTGATAAAAAGTATTTCATGTGAATGCTAATTTAATAAATGGTTTAAAGGATAAAGTCAGTCAGTAGCGGAGTAAAATTTTACAAAATTTAATACGGTCTTTATGAAAAGCTACACTACTTTTTCCTCGTAGTTTTCTCACAATTGACTTGACTACACTTTCTACCTGGTGTAAGATTCCAATTAAAACTTGATAGTTGAACTTTGGTTAGTCAGTCAGCAACGACACAGAACTTTGTACATACGTATGTTCATCAGTCCAAGCTGCTATATCACATTAGCGAAGAGATGCAATCGTCAATTCAAATCTCATAGTGGTAGATGTAGTAGAATTACTAGTGGTAATGGAGAAGATTAGGGTTCGAAGATATTATTCAGGAAGTATAATTCAGTGAAATAAACATCAAAAGAGAAAGATAAAGGTGATGAGGAATTCAGAAGATTGTAATTCCGGAGAACACAGTGAATTAATGCACCTGAAAGATTGAATACGATTTTGAATTATGTCATTCATAGTCTCTAACCACCGGTAACTATCGTTCTACGGACCCTAACCAGGTAGTCTAAAACTCCTACTAACGTGGCTCAGTCCACTTGTCAGTGACTTCATGGATCTGCGTCATGTATTGGTTTGGCCGCCACTAGCTTTCTTCCAGCCTACCCATTATATCAAACAACACCGCTTGTTGGGGCGGTCCGTGTTTGGAAATGCGTAAAATATATCCACTACTTTATCGATTGATCTGACATCCTGAACTAGTAATCGTTTCCTAACAACAGTATTTCCTACTTGGTGGTCCCACGATAAATGAATAGTGATTCTAAGTTATTTTTAATCAAATACTAGTAACCTCCAAATATTCTTTACTCTTACTGGCCATGCTCTTATTGAATCTCATTTGAATGTAATCTTGTCAATATCCTGTTATTCAGGGTAACTAGACTTTGTTTCAAAGATTCTCTTAATAAAGAATTTGAAAATATCAGAATATTTATCCTGTACGATTAGCGATGTCAATGAAGGAGATGTACTATCAACCCACTACCCCTAAGAACAGTGCATCTGACAACCTTCCATTTCAAAGGGATGATGTAAGCGCGTTGAATAGGAGTCGATGTTTTTTTCTGTCATCTTTATAATTACGTACGGAACAAACAACAGCATACTTCAGAAACCTAACTTTGATTATAGATCTTTTTCTAGTTATCTCCAGTCGCAAATTTTTTTATCTGTACATGTAGTAGTAGCAAGTACATTCGAAGAATAAAATCTCAGAATATATCTTAATCAATTTAATGTTGAATAGCTTCAAAATACCTAGCAATGACATGAGAATACCTTGATTCAATATTGGTCATTGAATAGATCCTGGTGTTGCCTTTCAAGCATGAAATAGACAGAATGACAACAAATATCTGTCTATGTTACACACAAGCAGTGGTTACTCTTCATCTAAAACAGAATTAATGTAAACTAAAAGGAATTTTAATTTACTTAGCGTTACCATATCGACCGATTCACTATTACCCTTCTCTTCCTTCATTTTGTTCGTTGTGTCTGCAGGACCATACCTTCATTGCATTATTTTCCAATTAAACTTAATTTTCATATTTTGATAGTTATTATTTATCTTTCGTTATTTCGTCTACTATAATGACATCAACTTTTCATTTAGAGTTTATGTAGATCACCGATAAACCACTATTAGAAACCCGGAAGCTCTAGACTGCCGTTTCGTCCTGGTATGTGACTGGCTTCGTGAGAAAATTCTTGGAGTTCTAGTTGGGAAGACGTGACCAGTGGAGTTCAAACCTGTTGGGTGTCGGAAGTTACTACTAAAGACAATGGATGAGGTCGTGCAAAATCCCTTGATTGATTAGAGTTAGACATTAACACCGTTGGATGCCTACTCGGTGGTCCGGAGGTTAGACGTTTGCATGCAAGGCCGCAGGTCATGGGTTCGAATCCTGCGGGTGGCAGAATTTGTGGATGCGCATTACTGATGAGTCCCATTCCAGGACGAAACGGTTGTCCAGTGCTTCGAGGTTTTTAATAGTGGTCTACTAGTGATTCATTCATGATTTCAATATGTAATAATCATATCAGTTTTTGCATGCGTTCCACAGAATCAATAAGGTTTAATCCTTTTGTTTATATATTTTAAACTTTATTCAATTATGGAAATCAGTGATAAGTATTTGTTTTCACTAGTTAACTAAATAACTGAATACAATTTCCACATTAAACTTTACATTTGTAAGACAAATCAATAGAACAGATGTGGAATCGTTAGTGTAAACACAAAAGTACTGAATGAATGCATCACTTATCACAGTGTTAATTGGTTTTATTTGACAAAAAACTTAGAAACATTGACAATTCATTTATCTCTGATTAGTTACCAATAAGTACTTCTTGGTTCTAATCAAACTCACAGTGAACAGTGTAAGCGACTAGTGGTTACATTGTAACTTGATCACTAGAATGTGAACATAGATAACATTGGATAACACTCAGCGATCGATGCAGTATTAGTATGTTCCAGTCCTCGAGGATATCAATTGTGATCCAAATAGCTCAATAATAACGTCTTACATTATGAAGGTGAGTGCTATGAGAACAAATCCACCAGAGATCGGTACTTACTTACTTACTTACGCCTGTTACCCCAATCGAGCATAGCCTAGCCACCAGTTTCCTCCAAACAACTCTGTCCTGGGTTTCCCTTTCCAGTTCTGTCCAGCTTTTGTTCATTCTTCTCATATCTTTCTCTATTTCTCGGCGTGATGTGTTCCTTGATCTTCATTTTTTTCCTTTTACCTTGAGAGTTCCATGTGTTGGCTTGTCTTGTGACGCAGTTAGGTGCTTTTCGTAGTGTGTGTCCTATCCACTTCCACCACTTCTTCTTGATTTCCTCCTCCACTGGAATCTGATTTGTTCTCTCCCACAGTAAGTTGTTTCTGGCAGTGTCTGGCCAACGAATCCGAAGTATTTTGCGTAAACAACTGTTCGTATATACTTGTATCTTCTGGATGAAGAGAGATCGGTATTCCCCTAAAATTATTGGTCTACCGAGCTGACATTTGAAGAAGAGCTCGAAACCTAAGTCTAAAGTTTCTTGTCCATCCGCCGCCATGCTTTTCAGAATATATTTTGTGATTTTGGACTTTATCATGATGAAAATCACATCACAGCAACAGTTGACGAAGATGATGATATTTTAGAACAATGATAATAATTCATTTTTTTTATCGATTTTATTTTTCAGTTGAACAAAACAACAGAACAGACGAAAAAGTAATGGGTAAGCTTGATTTCATTTTATAATTACTCACTTGCTTACTTACTTACACCTGTTACCCCTAATTGAGTAAATAGGTCGCCAACCAGCGAATTATTTTTCTGGTTAGCGTTTTTTCTGTCGCGAATCAGATTTCTACAGGATGAGGTCGCTAACCCCATGCTCAGCCTTCCTCCTTTATTCGGGCTTGGGATCAGCAGTAACCTTAGAAGAATTTATACTGTTTGTTATAGTGATGCTTTGATATCAACATAATACACCTAATCTGATGTCGCTTCGACAAAATGACCAAATAAGTATACATATTTGTTACTATTTATTTCATCCACCAAAGAGAGATGTCAACAAACATTGAACATTGAATTAGACATTGTCACCAGCTTGCAAATTTCTTTGAATCTACTCATATATTTTCACTAGTTTTAAAGAGACCCTTGAAGATTTAATAATCTGTAAAGTGCGTGTCACAATGAAGATATGCATGACGGGATTGTGAAGCTTGTTAAGTTACACATTTTTTGAAACCATGAATCAATCAATGTTAGACCACAATTAGAAACCTGGAAGCACTGGACGGCCGTCTCGTCCCAGTATGGGACTCATCAGCAGTGCGCACCCGCAGGGTTCGAACCCATGACCTTCCGTATAGTGCGCGGACGCCCTAACCGTTAGACCACTAAGCCGGTATCTAGAGGTGTTGCGCAACCTCATACACAGTCTTCGGTAGACACTGCCTACACCCGAACAGGTTGAACTTCACTGGATGCGCACTGCTGAGGAGTCCCATACTAGGACGAAACGGCCTTCCAGTGCTTCCAGGTTTCTAATGGTGGTCTAACATTGATCGATTCATGGTTTCAAACAATAAAGATTATTGACTGCATGAACAAATTATGTGATTATTGTCATTTAGAATATGTTTATAGTTTTCACTTGAGTGACCGAAAACGATTATTAATCTATATAAGTGAATAAAAGATTAATTTTGATTTAAGTATAAATTTATTCGGTTTCTGTACTATAGATATACATATTTAATTCAACAATCTGAGCTAACTCCATTCATGATTTAATCGTCTAACTAAGTGAAAAATACCGTCCAAATGAATTTCTTAAAACCTGAGGCGTTTACTTATAGACAATAATATCATTAGTTCTACTCTTGGTTGAATTTCTGGTTTGTACTACTGAACAGTCATAAGTAAGGCGAAAAATGTCATCTAGTTATATCTAATCTTCAATCGTTACCTATATGTTGTTAGTTATATCAAAAACAACACCTACCAATGAGGCTAAGCACGGCAACGTCCATCGCTGAGAAAATTATTGATTTATTTTGATGAGAATTATTGATTTGGATGTTAGTATGGTATAGAAAACTAAACTAAATGATAACTGATAAACAGTGATTGTGATTTTATTCACAGAAAACTAAATAGATTAAAACAAACAAATAAATCAGATGATAGAAACAATTTCAACATAATTCGTGAACATTGAATGAATCTCTGAAAGTAGGTTTTTAATGTACTATTGTCTCTGAAGAAGATTCGTTTTCATGTCGTTGATATTCATTTTTAAATTGTCAATTTAATTCGCCACGACTTCGAAATGAATATTCTTCGGAGACGATATTTCGTTAAAAACCTACTTTCGGAGATTCATTCAATGTTCACGGATTATGTTGAACCTGTTTTCAAGAACAGATCAGATAATGAAAAAACTAATGAAATCTTTGGAAAGCTTGACAGAAGTCAGACAGTTCGAAACAATTGTAGTGAGTCTATGACTATGAACACCACTAAAAAAAACGAATTACGTTCTAGTCCTAACGCGTTCTCCTGTCATAAACCAAAAAGAAGAAGAGATAATCCAGATGAAGGATTATATTTACTGGCAATTTCATGGTATCAATAGGATACCGAAATCATGTCAGAGAAAATGAGAGGATTTACAGAGCGTCAAATACAAGATGGCAGTCAAGCAAGCAAAAAGTGCGCACATACAGAAGTGCAAACAGACAAGAAGTTCAGTAAAATAATCACTGATACAATTGGTTATAATAATGAATGTTTCTATTATAAACCAATCGCATATTCTTCGTAAAAGTGGAGTCGTTACACAATCATCTAGAAAGTCCTAAATCTGGAATTTGTTTTACTTGATCTTACCTACTAACTTACTTACTTACGCCTGTTACCCACAATGGAGCATAGCCTACCCACCAGTTTTCTCCAACCAACTCTGTACTGGGCCTCCCTTTCCAATTCTGTCCAATTTTTGTTCATTCTTCTCATATCTTTCTCTATTTCTCGCCGTACTATGTTCCTTGACCTTCCTCTTTTCCTTTCACCTTGAGAGTTCCGTAGGAGGGCTTGTCTTGTGACTCAGTTAGGTGCTTTTCGTAGTGTATGTCCTATCCACTTCCACCGCTTCTTCCTGATTTCCTCTTTCACTGGAATCTGATTTGTTCTCTCCCACAGTAAGTTGTTTCTGATAGTGTCTGGCCAACGAATCCGAAGTATTTTGCGTAGAAAACTGTTCATAAACACTTCTATCTTCTAGATGATGCCTTTCGTAGTTCTCCAAGTTTCCGCTCCATACAGTAGAACTGTCTGGACATTTGTATTGAAAATCCTGATTTTGGTGTTGATTGATATTTGTTTAGAGTTCCAGATATTTTTCAATTGTCCCTGTTCTACTTGATACTAGTCAGAAATCTATATCTTATTACTAGCATTCAAATTATTCAAACCAACATTGCCACAACACCCAAATCACTTAGAATAGTTGATAGTACACAAGTTGATCAGTAAAATCTTATCAATACTACTATGGTTAAATAAACATGATACACCAACTTTTATTGAATAATGAATGATTTCTCTGCATATTTCACATAATTGTTTGAACATTGTTTGAATTATTGATTTTTATGTATTTGATTCATTGGCCAGTTGATGAATTGATACCTTGTTCCAATGAAGATAAAGATTACTGCCTCAATGGTGGACAATGTTATACATCGAAAAATGAAAGAGTATCATTTCAATGCAGGTAAGTGCATGTGTGCATTATATAAATTCATTTATTTATTTCACCTTGAAATCATGAATTAATCGTTGTTAGACCATCGTTAGAAACCTAGAAATACTAGATTACTGTCAAGTACTGGTGCGGGACTCATCAGCAGTGTGTATCGATAACTCCTGTCACTCGCAGGTCTCGAACCCAGGAGCTTGGGACTTGCGCACGAACGCCTAAACTCTGGACTACTGGACCGGCACTCAGCTGTGCTAATGTTTAACTCTGATCAATCTAAGGATTTTCTGCAACCTCTTTTATTGTCTTTGGTAGTTACTTTCTACACCCGACTGGTTTGAATTCCACTAGTCATGTCTTCATTTTCCGATAAATCATCCAGTTTTTCATTATAAGCGTTCTTGAACTTTGAACGGTTTTTATTTCAAATCAAACGTTTATAAACAAGGAACATTTTATAAATATATCTCGCGAATTAGTTGAAGATTTGAATCAGACTAGTAGATTTGAATCGATTATCTGTCAGAAGATTTTTGATTTCAACTCATATGGAATGGTGGATTTACGCTGCATAGATTTTTCCCTGAAAAAGTAGTATTTGAAAAAAAATAAAGAAATGCATTTAGAACACTGATAAATAGAAGCAAAGTAGTTTAACACTACTTAGCGGTATATATATTTTCTGGGTTGATTGGAAGAAACTAAACTTACATCAGTGTACATAATGTGAGTAATTACTGACTGGGTTAAGTTTTTCTCTCATAAAAATTAACAGTTGCGTAAAATCTATTTAGAATCCTTTGAGATTTGAACTGAAAAAATGTTACTGTTTAAGAACATTCTCTGTACATTGCTCAGTAAAGTGAAGTTTCAAACATTTTCACCATTGTAAACTGATTGTAGTTAGTCGTAAACAAAACTAGATACTGGATAGGTGAAGATGGTTTAGAGGATGATGGTTAGCTTGCCGAATCGAAGGTCATCAATTCGGAGTCCAGATTCAGTGTCGTAGATGCCCGCTACTGAGGGGTCTGATACTGGAACAGAACGGCTGTGTAGATGTTATGCCTGCACGTAAACACGTCAACTTGATATGCTTAAACTATTACGAGTTTACCTAGTCGGAAAACGAGAGCGAGGATCGAGGATCCGGCGACACGACATGCTACTCAAATCCGATTATCCCAACCCCCATACTGAATGAAAATAAGAAGCCTTGAATGTGGAGTAGAACCTGTATTCTACAAGCATCCAGAAAGTACGAGGTCTGAATCCAGAAGAGAATCAATATCCCGGACTAGGGATCCAGGACCGGGTCCTGGTCCTGGTCATAAAATGTTACAGATCATGCGTATTTATAAATTTTGTTCGAATAGGAACAGCATCGAAGTCTGTGACATTGATAGTCAGGACAACCAATAAGGAACAACATTGAGGCACGTGACAGCGATATTTAGGACGACCATAAAATTGACCAGCAGGAATTAACCAATAGGAATTGACGAATAATTCTCTTAGGATATTGGATGAATATCCTAACATTAGAGTTTCCAGATTCGGAATTTCGGTCTAGCTAGATTTGTTAACTGATTTGAAACAATGAAGTTTTTTTTTGTCCCTCAATTCCGTAGTTAGTGTATTTCTTTCGTATTCCTTCGACAACGTTAGCGTTTCGGAAAACAATATAATTGAGCTTATGTATATCTACTAGCCACCTATAATACTTTTTGCAAACTAGCTCAATAACAGCACAATTCTCATCGACTTGTGAATCTTTCCTTTGGTTCTCAGTAATACATATTCTCACAATCAAACCATATCAGCTCAGAGAATGAAATTGCAGTGAATCCATTCATCTCAGATGAAAAAATCTTCTCTTACTTAATTACTTACGCCTGTTACCCCTAACGGAGGAAAAGTTGCCGACCAGCATTCTCCATCCTACTTTGTCCTCCGCTCTGCTTTCCAGTTATTCCCAGTTGATGTTCATTCGTCTCATGTCTGCCTCCATTTCTCAAGGTAATGTGTATGACAGTCTTCCTCTTTTTCTTTCACCGTGAGGGTTCCAAGTGAGGGGTTATCTTTTGACGTAGTTGGGTGATTTCTGCAATGTGTCCTATTCACTTTCAGCACTTCTTCCTGATTTTATCCTCCGCTGGAATCTGGTTTGTTGTCATTTACTAAAGGTTGTTGCTGACAGAAAAAACATCTTTTCCGTCATCTCAAAATCAAATGATCCTGACACTCATCTCGTTGTTTAAAATCAGGATGATTTCGCCACTGGAGAAAAACTCTCCCGTCTCTACGATACAACCATACCACACCGGATTCAGAGAAAAAACGCACACCATAAACATACTGATAACAATGTATTAAATTAGCATACTTCGGACAATAAAATAATTCTCGTTGAACTAACAAAATATTTACCATTATTGTAACAAAAACAATTTATAGGTGTATCGATCATTATTTCGGTGACCGATGTCATTTTCACACTGATGGTCTATATGGTAAGTAATGCAGTGTGTGCCTAACCAGCTGTTATTCCCGCTTCATTCAGCTTTGTCTAACAAATTTTATCTAACAATTACTTTTTTACGAATCAAAATCCTATACACCAATTAAAATAGAGATAATAGTCATGTATATACTTCCAATCTACCATTTTTATCAACTAATTTGAGAAATAGCTAACTAACTAACTTACTTACTTATTGATTTACTTACCCACTTACTTACGCCTGTTACCCCCCAATTGAGTATAGACCACCTCCCAGCGAATTATTTTACTGGTTAGCGTTCCCTTTTTCTAGCGATTTGGACTCCTGCGGGATGGAGTCACTGACCTCCTCCTCTGTAGGGGCTTAGGACTGGCAGTAATCCTAAAACGGCTTCAGACGCAGTTAACTCACTACCTAACTAACTACTAGTGACATATAGATTACTTTTTACCTTATTTCTTAAATATATATATATATATATATATATATATATATATATCACTTATAGACAGTAATTTCTCGTTTCTTTTATCTTCATTTTCATGGGCAATAAATAACATGTCAACACTATTCTTTTTATCCATCGTATTCATCGTACTATATATGCATTTTATTACCCTTCTATATGCATTTATCTATACAAATAAATCGGTTCAATGAACCATGGGTTATTATTGAATATTGAATGATGTGTCGTAAAACAAACAAACACTCAAATTCAAACACGCACACACGGGCGCGCATACAATTAAAAACTTATCGTGAACATTGAAAAACATGCCAAAAAAAACAAAATATCAGTTGTTATACACCATATTTTGGTTCAAAATGTGAACGTGTTGCAGTTGATTTAAATGAATATAAATGTGGGTTTCAATGTAGTTCATTTATTCGTAAAAGAATAATAAAAAGAATTAATTTTTATACTTCTTTCTTTTAATGATAATTGTCAATTATTTACTTTTTGATATGATTTTAATAACAATAATAAATGATTTACTACTTAATATTTTTTGGGGGGCTAAATGTAAGTAGTATCTAAATATTTATATACAGAACAGATAAAATGTGGTTCACAGTGGAATCAAAAGACTGACTGGTGTTTCATCCCTTTTTCGCGACTCATCAGCTCCAATATACCTATCTCTCAGAGTCGATATCCATTCTGGAACTTGAAACAAGTATCATGTTACCTACTTAGTTATACAGGACCCCCCAGATGATGAGCCTCAGGCAGGCAGGCTGAAGCATACATCTTGAATTCCGCTGCTAGCCACATACTATCTATTCTATACATAAACTTTTATTACGATCGCTGTATGTTGAAGCAATCCACATAGGATAAGATATCTATATATGCCAACCAAGATTGATGAGATTTTAGTCAAAATATCAACAATATGGTCGTAAAAACTGTTTAAATATTATTAGTGATTATCATGATTGGAAATATCTATTGGTTTACTAATTATTTAACTTAATGAAAAAAATTTTTTATATCGACATCGTTTATAACAAAAAAAAGGTGTAAAATTATTTGTAATGCATATAAGGAATATAATTCAAAAGAATTGCATAAGACAATGTCTGATTGAGCATAATCTTTTTCCGTTTAACATTATCAATATGTCCATTTTATTTCTTGAGAAACTACAGTTAAGCTTGGAGGGTTCGATCCCCGGTTAGGGTGAAGTTCTATATTAGGATAAAACACATGTCCAGTGATTTCCGGTTTGAAAGCTCTTATGAATTGAATACATGCTTATTAGTAGAAAACTGCTTGTATTTTCATTATAGGGTTGTGGAGATTGTTGGATCTCATTGAAATCATGGATTAATCATTCTATTAGACAACCATTAGAAACCTGGAAGCACTGAAAAGCCATCAAATACTAGTTTGGTGACCCTCAATAGTGCTCATCCACGTCCCCTGTCCGCGGGAATCGAACCCAGGATCTTTGGTCTGATGAGCGAACACTTAAGCTCTAGACCACAGAGCTGACTTTCAACAACGTTGGTCTAGTCTAACTTTAATCAATCCACTATACTGAGCAACCTAACCCGTTTTTCTTCATTAGTTACTGTCTACACCTGAAAGGGTTGAACTCCACTGATCACGACTTCTCATTAGAACTTCGAGAATTTCCTCACGAAGTTAGTCACTAGTGAGAACATGATAATTTCGACTATAAGGTTGTTCTATACTAGAACGAAACGGCTGTCTAGTGCTTCCAGGTTTCTAGTAGTGATGTAACACTGATTGATTCATGATTTTAATTAAGCTTCCAATATATTTCTTTTTAAACGGGCACTGTTTTATTTGCCGTTCATTTTTTAAGAGATATTTATCAAATTTTTATATGTATTCTACAGAATTAGTATTCTGTAGCGATAGTACTCGAGAGTAGATATAAATTTTATTGAAGAGCACAAGACTAACACTATCACTGCTGTGATTATTCACTAATTACTCTATGATAGGTTAATTTGATGTTTCCAACTTGTTCACAATTAGTTATTTAATTACAGAATGTAATTTACTTACTTACTTACTTACTTAATTACTTACTTACTTACTTACTCACTTACTTACTTACTTACGCCTGTTACCTACAATGGAGTAGAGGCCGCCGACCAGTGTTCTCCAAGCTACTCTGTCCTGATCTTCTCTTTCAAGTTCTATCCAATTTTTGTTCATCCTTCTTATGTTTGTCTCCATTTCTCAGCGTAATGTATCTTTTGGCCTTCCCCTTTTCCTTTGACCTTGAAGGTTTCAAGTGAGGGCTTGTCATTTGATGCAGTTGGGTGTGTCCTATCCACGTAAATCAAATTAAGTGTATTTAATTTTAATATAATCCCTTTTGTCAAATGAAGAAGATGGTTATCAGTTTGCCAGATTTTTGATGTTCGTTGATAGGAAATCCTAGACTTAAGTTTTTATATTACTTGACTCCCATCAATTTAGCTGGTCAGTATAACTCCTTGTTAATGTCTCAAATGGTGAAGTTAGTTGATTTTGTTCTGAACCTCACAGGGCAAGTTAGTTCGCTCAAAATTATACATATACCATTTCATTGAGTATCGACTAGGATAAAACCTAAATTTAGAGTTTGCTGTTGAATATCTCTGGCAATTCGACATCTGACATTATGTTAGGTCACTTGGACTAGTAGCCAGATTGTCGTTTGACATTATAGGATTCGATCAAAGGTTATAGTACGTGATGTACTTACGTACCAAGTTCTACGTTGTAACTGAATGACTTACTGAGCGATATGGCAAACATAACTCTAGTTAACACTCAACGATCAATCCACTGTAGTTATCAATCGTAACGAATTGTATGTGAAACATACAATCTTGAATTATTATCTCGTTACAAATAATAATGTTTCAAGTCTGATTATACTAATATATTTCGTCACTGTATCTCTATAGAGTGAATTAAATTGCTCAGAATAAACTAATAGGATTTAAATGCTTAGATTGTTGAATTTTTTTGTACATGTAGATTTGATGAAGTTCGTATTGAACTACCAACCGATGAATAACCTTCGATAAGAATTATGCTTATGTAATTCTTATTCAATGGTTTTAAAGTCAATAATCATAGAGATTCTAGGCTTATTATATGTATATGCGCGTATTTTCACCGGCCGGGAGCCAGGTAAGGATGGCAGATTAATAGATCAAATATTGAAACTTCATCAGCTGAGGTGGTTGGGACATGTGTTGTGTATGCCTAACCAGTGACTGCCTCATCGAGCTTTGTTTTGTAGTGTAGGAATTGGTTGGACAGAAGCTAGGGTTGGCCAAACCAAAACATGGCAGAAATTCATGATGTCACTGACAAGTGGATTGAGTCATGTTGGTAGATTTAGACTACCTGGTTGGGGTCCGCGAGACGAAAGTCATCAATTGTTAGAGACCCTGAATGACATGTCTCATAACCGTTTGCAATGGCACAGGTGTATTCATTTTTAGTTTTCTCTCAAATTCTAACCTTCCGTCACCTTTATCGTTTTCTTTTTAAGCTTATTTCACCAGATTCTACTTCTTGAATAATATCTTCTAATCCTAATCACTCCGATTACTGCTAATACCTCTAATACTATTGGATTTGAATTGACAATTACATGTCTGTGCTAATGTGGTGTGGCAACATGAACTGATGTACATACGTACGTACAAAGTTGCTGCTGATTGATTTTCACCTAAAAGTTACAAACCAAACATGTTATAGAATGAACTCAATAATCTTCCCTATTCAAGATCTCGGCGTTCACGTTCTTGTTTAAGTCAAAAGTTTATTATTTACTGCTTCATAATTTTCACCTCCTTCATCTCCCTACTACTCACACTTCAAGATTGGCAAGAGAAGAAAGTATATCTATCTGAATCGGAAAAAAACATGGAATGCAAATAAAGATAACATATCATCAAATCATAGCTCGAAGCTTCAAAATTCAATTCTTTCTAGAATTTTCCTTTGATCAGTTCCACGCTCAATGTTTATTCATTCGTAATAAAAAAAATCATCTCCAAATAACACTACAATCTTATTGTTGAAATTATAAATCAATCCGCGTTAGACTACCATCAGGAACCTGAAAGTATTGAAAGATGGCCATTTTGTCCTAGGATAGGACTCATCAAAAGGTAGTGCACATCTACGACTCCTGCTACCCACATGTTACGAACCCAGAGCTTTCGGTCTTGTGTCCAAACTTCTAACTTCTAAACCTACAAACTAAGCTTCACATTTACTATTCATTTGTATAATATAAATTCAATTCAATTATGTACAATTGTCAACATATGACATCCATTATTTTTTCTCGCCTCTCCTACAGGTATTCATATTTTCTCAGGGGGTAAATAGTTTTATTCAAAAAACAAACATTTATAACAAAATTTCTTTACAGTTTGAAACAAAAAAAAACAGGTTTCTTCTTTCATAAATCTTGTTTTTAAAATTGATTTATTTGTGTTGAGTGTATATATATATATTTTTAAGTTGACTGGTGATGTAACAATCAAACATTTATTTGTATGGGTAATATTACATAATATGTGTGTGTGTAATTTACTTTTTACAAGTGTTACATAAACAAGACCGGCAGATGACATGTACTTTGGTTTCAGTAGCTCTATCTATAAACAAGACAGAAAATAAGTATGCATGATGGTGTAACGTACGAAGACAAAGTTTATTGATAAAATATGTACACCTAGTCTTCAAATATCTATTTGCAGTACAGTCTGGTAATTCAGTGTCTTCTCTCCTACCTCCTCTGGTCTTCCATCTGTTTGATTTCTAGACACTCTTGTCTGATGTCACTCTACTGCATACTACTAATATGTTCCGTTGTGAACAGTATTCACTACTATGGGGAGACATAGTAGTAGTATCTCTAGAAGCTTTAAAAAACAAGTTCAAATTTACTTTTAGCCAATCAGATGACAGAAGAAATAATCTAGAAATTAACTTTCGATGCTTTTCTCTAATCTAATCTAATTGGATGAGTATCTTTTTGTATCATGTTGATATTTTGACTGAATTCCGATTAACTTTAGTTAACGAATTTATATCATTTGTGGATTGCTTCTATATACCTATTATGAAAGAATTTTACATAGGGTAGATGGAATGTGACTACCAGTGGTATCCAGGTATAGCATTTCGTTTCACCACACATTCATTCATCAAGTGGGTGTACTTGAATCCCAGTCCGGGATCTCAACCCCATATACATTCGGCTACAAAAACGTCAACACAAACAACGGAATGATTTAGATCCGGACCGATTGAATAAAAAGTCATAACAACTAAACAGTTAACTGGCTACTTAAACTGGACAGTATGTTAGTAGATAGTCATTAATAACTCACGTACGTAGATTTGGCTGACGAGTTCCTGAAGCAAAGTGAAACGCTACAACGCTAAGCCACTACTAGCTACATACGATAAGTTCGTTTTGTGACTTATTCATGAATATAGTCAATGAGTGTCAGTTTTAAAATGGATTATTTTTATTTGAAACCTCAGAATTTCAACACGTGGTTTATCTATAAACGTAAGTAAATTACCCGGGTAAATACGAAAGAAGAAGGTAGCGTGAAATCGGGGATCGATTGTGGTTAGACACTGACACGGTTGGATGTCAAACAAGGGGTCTGCAGGTTAAGTGTTCTTGCGCAAGACCTGAAGTCCTTAATTCACTTTCCACGTACATCTTGTGTGAACAGTGATTTGAATTCTAACACTAGAATAATATGACTGTAAAGCGTTTCCAATGGTGTTTTGATAATGATCGGTTCACGAGATCAATGATGCTCAACAGTCTTCACAGCTCTACACTCATAATTTCAAGTGTTACTGCTAACTGATTATTAAAAAAATACTCTAGATTTAAGACAGTATGAAAATGAACTTCACATATTTTATGATTTTAGAGTTTAAAACATGGTTTTTTTTGTATTTTAAGTCTGAAATGTGTATTTTGTTGGCTCTATTTTAGTTTTAGAGGTTACTTTATTTCAACGAACAAAATTATTAGTGATATTTGGGGCCTTATTTATATTTACAACAATATTACTAGGAGTTGTATTAATTTTTATTTGGTAGGTTAGATTGTTCACTATGTTTATATGTGCATGAATAGAAAATCAAATGCACTGACTTTATCGTTTAAAAGCATGCAACGTGTTTAAGCCAGATTGATGTTGTCAGTGATATATTTTGTTGTTGTATATATGTTACTGTGACTTATTTAGTAGTATAACTTTTTCAGCGTCAATTTTGTTAGCTGGATGCAACAATTTCTCTCAAAACACTTTTGCAGCTTTGTTTACATTTCACTATACGCCTGGAGTATGACTAGTGTTATTATTTGAAGTGGTTCTCACTCTGATTTTAAATGTTTATACCTTATGCAAACTAAAAACCTTCCTCAGGTTTGAAACTTTGTGCAAAATATTTTAGACAAAAAAGTTTGTATTGAAGTGATTATTTGTTCTACATTTGCGATGTAATTTTATTTGAAATCATCATTTGAAATCATGTATCAAAGTTAGACCATTATTAGAAACCTGGAATCATTGTACGGCCGTTTCGTCCTGGTACGGGACTCAACGGCAGTGCGCATCTACGATTACTGCATCTCGCATTATCCAAACCCAGGATCTTCGGTCTTGCTTGCGAACGCCTAACCTCTGGACCAATGAGCTTCTATCTAACGGTGTTAACGTTTAACTTCGATCAATTCACTGAGTTGTGCAACCTCATACACTGTCTTCGGCAAGTACTGTCTACACCCGAACAGGTTGAACTTCACTGGTCACGACTTCCCACTAGAACTCGGAGAAGATTCCTCACGCGGCTGGTCACTAGTGGGCATATATAATTGCATTACGGGGTCCCTGTGAAGATTGTTAAGTTACACATTTGAAATCATGAATGGATTTCGAATTGATCAAAGTTGGACATTCACACCGTTAGAAACCGGCTCACTGGTCCAGAGGTTAGGCGTTCGCAAGCAAGACCGAAGATCCTGGGTTTGGATAATGCGAGATGCAGTAATCGTAGATGCGCACTGCTGGTGAATCCCATACCAGGACGAAACAGCCGTCCAGTGCTTCCAGGTTTCTAATTGTGGTCTAACACTGATCGATTGATGAGTTCAAATATGTAACTTAACAATCCTCACAACCCCGTAATTTAATTTTATGTTAACTTTCATATTATCTAGTCGAAAAAGGTTCATCCTTATTCGGCGATGACGCCAAAATTATTTTAAAGTTGTAAAATAACTCCAGCTATATGATGAATATGTTATCTGTGATTTAATTAACTTTCCTTATAACTAAATAGCTCAAACAACATTTGAAACAAAATTCAGTGAGCTACAATGTACATCAGTTCAAGTTACTACACCAAATTAACACACGGAAATTGAATAGTCAGTTCGAATCCTATGGTGGTAGATGTAATAACAGTATTAGCGGCAATAAAAACGATTAGCGTTCAAAGAAATTATTCAAGAAGTATCATCCAGTGATGTTAATTTAAAACCAGAAGAATAGGCATTCAGAAGGTTACCATTTGAGACAAGGCAAAGAATGAATGGACCTGCGACATTGCAAACGGTTTTAAACCATGTCATCCAGTGTCTGTATCCATCGATTACTATCATCTCGCTGACCCCAATCAGGTAGCCTACATCTACTATCATAGCTCAGTTCGGTTGTCAGTGAGTTCATGGATTTGAACCATATTCTGGTTTAGCCACTCCTAACTTTTTTCCAGCCTACTCCTACATCATAAAACTTCACTCGTCGAGTCAGTTGGTGGTTAGACATACACAAAACATGTTCCGACCACTTCAACTGATGAAGGTTCATTAAGTCATCAACTGATTCGCTATCCTTTCCTAGTACTCTTTTTCCAACATCTGCATTACAGACTCTATCGTCCCAGGATATATGAGCAACGCTTTGAAGACTCCTATGATAGAAATCTAGTAACCTGCATAGATCTTCTATTCTTGGTGGTCAGGTTTCACACCTATATATAGTAGGACGGTGCGAACTGCTGCGCAGTGAACTGGTTTCTTATATATACCATCTACATATTCTCCTAGTAGAAAGTTAACTCTTCAAAATTTAGATGATGAAAGTATCATCTCTAAAATCATGTCATCGACAAAGATAAATTAGAATGGAGATAGCGAGCAACGCTGATGAACATCAATCGAACAGTAATCGACTCTCACAACAGTTCACAGTTAAAACAAGATAATTCTATTTTCGGTCAGGCTTAAAGCTTGTTCACCTCATTATCTAACATTGTAAAGTAGAAATTCATCGATTACCCCGATATGTCAACTTTGGTCATGCGTTAAATATGTCATTATCCATCTGATAATTTAAAGAAAGGATATACTGCGCAGCAGTTCAATCCACAATAATAATTGCACAGTTCATGCTTATTCTTAGGCATGTTAGTATAACCACTTGTGTAGAATGGAATTCGCCTACAGCTGTAAGCACGCTTTAGGCATTATTTTCTGAGGAGCTTTTATCATTCATTCATGTAAGCCAAAAACATTCCACTGTATCGAACGTTTATTCTCGACGCTCTGATTTGACTTTGATTAACACATATCCCTCTCATTTTAATTTATATTCTAAATTATGATTTCACTCACTGAACTATCATGTAACTAACAGTACAAAGAACTTTAGTAATACTGATAATATACAATTTGTGAATTCATGTAATATAGTAACAATTCATGTCAATAACATAAGATCCATTCAACAAATCCTTCATTTCTCTACTTCCTTTCATGATCATCACTTATCCCAGTGTGATTCACTGATATGATTACATTAACAATGAAATAATGTTTCTAATGTAAATAAATAATTTGAATGCCTAACAGTTTTGCAATTCGTTTTCGGCTTTACATGTGTAAAAATCATTAGCTTCATTGATGATCATTTTGTATGTGTGTAAAGAGTGATTATTTTGTGAATAGGTGTGAGTTTTAAATATATACGAATTGAACTACTCATGTCGATTTTTACTGGTGAAATTCAAGAAGAAGAAGAAGAACAACAATAATCAAGGATTTCAAGTGACATTCAGAGGTGTTTTCTTTTGATTGAACAAACAAAAAATTTAACTCTTTTGCAGTGATTTAAACAATTTCAGTAATGGCGATGAGAATCTATGGGACATTGATTAAAAACTGGATGGTATTAGTGTTTCATTTCTTTGGTACAATCAAGTTTCCAGTTTTTTTGCTCAATATTTGTTGAATATTTGAAATCATCAATCAATCATTGTTAGACCACATCATTAGAAGAAACCTGGAAGCACTGAAAGACGGCCGTTTCTTCCTGGTATGGGACAACTCATCAGTGGCAGTGCGCATCCACGACTCCTGCATCTCTCAGGATTCGAGCCCGGGACCTTCGGTATTGAGCGCGAACGCCTAACATCTAAACCGCAGGGTAGGTATACAACGGTGCTAATGTCTCACTTTGATCAATCTAGAGATTTTGCGCAACCTCACTTATTTGTCTTCGGTAGTTACTGCCTACACCCGACAGGGTTGAACTCCACTGATCACGTCTTCTCACTAGAACTCGGAGAATTTCCTCACGAAGCTAGTCACTGGTGAGCATATTTTACCATATTTTCAATTAGAGTTATGGAGATTAGTGTTTTTACATGGGTGAGGTCGCGCAAAATCCCTAGATTAATCAGAGTTAGACATTAGCACTATTGGATGCCGGCTCAGTAATCCAGATGTTAGGCGTTCGTATACCATTCCGAAGTTCCTGGGTTCGAATCCTGCGAGCTGCAGGAGTCGTGGATGCGCACTGCCACTGATGAGTCCCATACTAGGACGAAACGGCCGTCTTTCATTGCTTCCAGGTTTCTTCTAATGTTGGTCTAACAATAATTGATTGTTGATTTCAAGTGTTCAAAAAACACTTATCTCCATAACGTTAATTGAAAATTTATTAAATAGATTGGGTGCATATCAATGTTGTTTATGTGCAATGTCTATAATATATCCTATGTGAATTGATTTCGTCTATTTGTTTTTGTTTTTGTTTTCTCATTTCCATTCAATGATCAATATTAGCTTTTTCTGAATCACGTGAAAATCATTTACAATCTCTATTGCATGAAATTATTAGAACGTTAACATTACGTGGTATATTTTTCACATTATTCGGTATATCAATACATATTTTAATATTTTATGGAATATGGAAATGTCAACAAAGAAGCATGCAGTATGTTGTACCTATTTTTTTTTGTTCAATTTCTTTTGAACGCTGTTGTTCAAAGTTGTATAACATATATAGATAATGATATGTTCTCCTTATCAGTTCATTTTACATTGCTGTTCGTTCAGACGATAAACCAATGATATTCAGTCTCCTTATGTTAGGGTTAAAATGAAGTGATTTTCTGAAGGTAACTGATTCGATATTTATGTATCAACTGACAACAGTGTATGGTGGTCGCACAATATCGCGGAACGTTTGAAGTTCAATATCAACACAAAATGGCCGTTTCATCTTAGTACGTGACTCCTCAGCAGTGCACAACTATGACCGCCGTAAGCAGGACTCGAACCTAGGACTTTCAGTCCGGCAAGCGAACACTAAACCTCTAGATCACTGAGTCTGCATCCAGTCTTTTTTGTACTGATCAAACTTCATAGATCAGTATTCAATGTGGTGATTAGTCTAAGGGACTGAATATCATATGGACTCTATGAAGATGTCAGGTAGTAGTCAGCAGGAAGCCCTAAGCTTAGGTTTCGTGCAAGTTGATATTTACCAGTTCTACAGAACTGAACAAACACTGATCAACGTTCAGTTTGTCATAATTACCTCACTTTGACAGGATGTCTGTGAGAGATTGAGTAGCCTAGTAGGAGGATTACGAATCCTCACAGAGAACGTTAATTTTCTTTTAAATACCGGCATATCATACTGAGAAATGACGAGTAGCATAAAACTTAGATCAAACAGTTTATTTGTCAACTACATTCAATCACTTTGCATCTCAATACAGTATTTGGTATTTATGAATATGTTTTCTTATGCTTTATATTTTTAGTCGAAAATACTTAAGAAAACGAAATAAATCTGCATTTAAAAATGGTTCACAAACGGTAAGGATAAGATTTCTTTTTAAAAGTTCACTTGAACCCATTGAATGATCGATATTCAATTCCTTTTTTTGAAAATTCTTCTACATGAATGGTGAACACTAGCGATTGCTTACATAGTTTGACTAAGGTTCATGATGTTTTAGACTAGCTAGCTATTTAAGACGACATGAAATAATAATTGTTGAACATTAGGTACTAATTAAAAATGTGAAATGTAATCTGTCGAATGTTCGAATTCATTTTCGTAAATTTTCGGTTTGCCTTACGGGATAGTCTTCGTTTTTTTACTAATCTACGTCTGTTAGCCCCCAAAGAGTACAGGTTGCTAACTTGCATTCATTTAGTGAACATTCGGTCTTGAAAATGACTAAAATACTGTCTCTTTAATAAACGAAAATACAGTTTATTAGCAAAGTCCTGCATAATGTACCAAAGCTACTGTAATTAAATTCAGAAAATCTTTTCTTAAAATAGTCTCACTAACAGTATAATTGTTAGGGTATTCATTTTTGTAAGTCAAGTTCTATTGGTCAATGATATGGTCTTCCTAGCTATCAATGTCACGTATTTCAACGTTGTTTCTTATTGGTCGTTCTGACTATCAATGTCACTTCAAATGTTGTTTCCTATTGGTCATCCTAACTGTCAATGTCACAGACTTCGATGTTGTTTCCTATTCGACAAAACTGTATAAAAACGCATTATCTGTAACGTTTTATGACTCAGACCCGGATCCCTAGTCCGGGATCCTGACTCTTGTCTGGATTCGGACCTCGTACTTTCTGGATGTTTGTAAAATACAGGTTCTACTTCATATCAAATCTTCTTCTTTCACTCAATGGGGGTTTGGGACGTTCGGATTTGAGTAGCATGTCGTGTTGCCGGATCCTCGATCCGCGCTCTCGTTTTCCTACTAAGGTAAGCTCGTAACACTTCGAGCAAACCAAAATGACATATTGATGTGCATGCGTAACAATAATACACTATAGTATGCTTGAAAGATTTTTGAGTTTCATTGAAATCATAAATTGATCAATGTTAGCCGGCCATTAGAAACCTGAGCGCACTGGACGGTCGTTTCGTCATAGTTTGAAACTGTTCCGTAGTGCACATTCACCATCCCCCGAGCGCACAGCTGATGAGTTCCATACCGGGATGAAGCGTCCGTCTGCTCCTTTCAAGTTTCTAATGGGAGTCTAACACTGATTAGATCATGATATTATGACAGTTTACTTTGTTTATGGAAAGAAAAGTTGTAGACTTATAAGCACAACACTTCTGAATCAGAAACTTCATTTAATAATAAGTTAATGATCAATATACTTCATTACTAGTGTACTAAGACTGAGTTATTTACTACATACAATTTATTCGACAAAGAGGTGTATACTACTCACAACTTGGCTAATAAGTAGCATATGGTCGATAATATAGCAGAGTGTCAACCTGAAATTACTGTCTAAGCTAAGAATATTTGATCCGGATGAATGGCTTGATCACAGTGTTTTGAAGACATAGTGTGCACATTCGTTAGTAAATTGTCTTCATTGAATTAACTGTTGGGAACGTTAGATCCCCAGAACTAACTTAATACAGATCCTAATTTTGGATTTTATGTTTTCGCACATGGGCTGATCAGTTGACCTTGATATTACACCTCCCACTCGGGAAATCCTCGAATGTCATTGATTGATGTGTTATTTTATTACGCTATTTTTATAGCTCTCCCAAGGACGTTTCTATCATGTATAAATAAGCTCGATTTATGTGCTTATGAATCTCATATTTTCTGGGTGCTTGTAGAATACACTTTCTACGTCATGTCAAGACCTTTTCGTCTATTTAGTGGGGCCTTGGGACGCTCAGATTAGAGTAACCTATCGTATCACTGGATCATTTGTCTTTACTCTCGCTTACCGACTAAGGTGAACTCATAATAGCATTCAAGCTTATCAATTGACGAACATAACATAAACACACCTTCTTCATCTAGTGTTAACGTTTTCATTCATCAGAGTATTTACTAATCAGAAAGCAATAAATAACTTATTACTTACTTACTTACGCCTGTTACCTCCAATCGAGCATAGGCCGCCCACCAGTTTTCTCCAACCAACTCTGTCCTGGGCTTCCCTCTCCAGTTCTGTCCAATGTTTGTTCATTCTTCTCATATCTTTCTCTATTTCTCGGCGTAGTGTGTTCCTTGGCCTTCCTCTTTTCCTTTTGCCTTGAGGGTTCCATGTGAGGGCCTGTCTCGTGACGCAGTTAGGTGCTTTCCGCAATGTGTGTCCTATCCACCTTCACCGCTTCGTCTTGAATTTCCTCCTCCACTGGAATCTGGTTTGTTCTCTTCCACAGTACGTTGTTGCTGATCGTGTCTGGTCAATGAATACGAAGTATTTTGCGTTGACAACTGTTATTAAACACTTGTATGTTATGGATGATGGCTTTGGTAGTTCTCCATGTTTCCGCTCCATATAGTAGAACTGTCTTGACATTTGTATTGAAAATCCTGATTTTGGTTTTGGTTGGGAGTTGTTTGGAGTTCCAGATATTTTTCAACTGTAGAATTGCAGCCCTTGCTTTGCCAATCCGCGCCCTCACATCTGCATCGGATCCACCTTGATTGTCGATGATGCTGCTCAGATATATAAAGGTGTTAATTACCTCCAAGGCATCTCCATCAAGAGTGATTTGGTTGGTGCATGTTGTGTTACATCAGAGAAGTTTGCTTTTTCCTTAAATAACTTATTACTTTTGTCAAATATATACATTATGTTGTCAGAAAATAATAACTTTTCACCTCTTCGAATTTCTAAACCTATCACTTATAACTTATTGATACTATATGCCTATAAATTAGTGTTATTCTTATAGTTCATTCTAAACATTTCAGAAAACTACTCATTCAATGAATAAATCAAATAGTGGACAAAGAATTCTTACTACAGTCAACAATAATAATACAGATTCATTCTTGATGAATGATTTTCATGAAAGAAATGTCAACATGGACACTGTACCCATAGTGGAAAATTATCATGGACCAACTGCTAATAGTTTTATTCTTCCAGTGACAAATTTATTCACAACTGGCAATTATGAAAATCATTCACAGAATTGTACTGGTGGTGATGTAGCAATTGATTTGAAATTGCCATTATCAACAAGTCATGGTAAGTTGATAGATTTTGACTGCTAAAAAAATTGTCCATTGTCCATTAGAATTAGAGAGAACACAAAGAGTGGATGCACCTACGCCATTCGCAGTAAATTTCACGTATAAATTCTGAAGAAGTTGTGATATTATTTACAGAAACTGAGAAATTCATTTTAATCAAGTTTATGCTTGAAAGTTTACATAACGGACTGATGGTCGTAGTTAGAAAACTATTGAAAACCTAGGAAATACAGGGCAGTTGTTTTGTTCTATTATGTAGGTCTACTGCTTTGTACATCTGATATGCTCGTCAGTGGGTATGTGTTGGGGACGTTGGATCCCCAGAACTCGCTTGATAAATGCCACATTCAGGGAGCATGGACTGATCAGTTGACCTTGAGATTTCATTTCCCACCAGGAAAATCCTTGGCTGTGATTGGCTGCTATGTATTTTAGTGTGCTACTTTTGTTACTGTCCCAAGGACGTTCCTGTGATGCATAAATAAACGAGAATTGTGTGCTTTATTGTATGGTGCTTGCTAGGTGTTTGTAGAATATACTTTCTACGCTTCCTGAGACTTCGCTTTTGTTGTTTCAGACCAAGGTAGCCTATCTGGACGCTGGTTCATTGTCTCGTTCTCGATTATCGACTAAGGTGAAACCGTAATAGCCTCAACCGTACTTAGTGACGAACCTAACAATATTCTTGAATGCTATTACGAGTTCACTTTAGTCAGTAAGCTAGAGCGAAGACAAATGATGCAGTGACACGCTAGGCTATTCTAATCTGAGCGTCTACGGCCTGGCCAACTATATCAAGTTTTGATAAAGCGTAGTAAGTGTATTGCACAAGCACACAAATTGACTTTATTTATACACGATGTAAACGTTCTTGGGAGAGCCACGAAAATAACGTACAAAAATAATGTGTCATTCAATTACAGTGAAGGATTTTCCGAGTGGGAAATGTAATCTTAAGGTCAACTGATCAACCCATGCGCGAAGACATAAAATCCGAAATCCGTACCTTTATCAAGTGAGTTCTGGGGATCTAACGTCCGCAACAACATCCCATACCCATCAACAATCAAACTGAGGACTTAGATGTCTCAACGCAAGCCTCTATTATTTATCCTACTTGCGAGACATCCATTGGCTCATGTGTTTAATTTTAGTTAACTCACAATATTATACAACCATCTTCTAATGCCATTAGTGGATAACTAGCTCTCCACTGCTGTGGTTGAGTTACACTGATTCTCGCTTCTCACTAGAACTCTAAGACATACCACTACAAATTAAGCACCACTAATCACCTAAAGTGTGTTAAGCTTTTTTCTAATCTAATAAGAGTTAAGATTCAGTCAGAGAGAGAAACTGGATCCAATCAATATTGTACACAAAATGCAATAATAATAAATAAAGTTTTGAGTTCAATTTTCCATTTTTCCTATCTCATTCAACTTCAATTGATCAAAACATTTGAAAAGAAAATGATAAATCATTTAAAGTTTTAGCAACAATTAATGATGATATTACGTATTATTGATTAGTATTGAATGCTCGAATGGACTGTCCGTGATTCATAGGGTTCAGTGTGACAGGAAACAATACAGTTAATACAAGTGGCTTATCAAGCATAAGTTATCACAAATATCCTAACACCGAATAGCTGGTTTCATTTTTTCGTTTAGTTACTTTTTAGATAAATTAGGAACTTGAAATAGATAGATCATGGTTAACAATCGAATCTAGGACTAGCGTTTTATCTTATTTGAGACTCGTCAGTTGAATGTACTTGCTTCTCAAATTTGATGCTCATTCCGAGTGACTCGATCAAACTTCAGCCGGATATATCAGCGATGTGATAACTCAAACCACTCATATTATTTACACAAGTGAGTGATCTTCTGCAATCAGTAGCTGAGTGAATAATGCGATTGTTTTTTGAAAGAATCCTACTGGATTCGAGTTGTGAAGTGAATATCAACTCGGAGATGCAGGTACATTCAGCTGACGTATCTCGAATAGGACGAAACACCAATCCTGGATCTCACTGTTGGGCAGATTTCATTGATTCTATGTAAACTAATGTTGTAATGGCTAAATCGAGGTAATCCATTCAGGATCATACACAAATGCATACAAAAAAGATGATTCAACGTCGGTTTGTACTTTTCATTAGGTGAATGATACTGACAATCGATAAACTTACTTGTATAAAATACAACAGTGATATATTCTGTAAATCTTGATTATTTCTTATTAACACTTAGAAGTATTGTGTTTTCTTTTAAAACTCAGTGAATCCACAACCATTGTTGCATGATCAGTCAAGAAACCCGCCACAAATCGGTTATCGATCATCAACCTCTTTAGATCAATGCAATGAAAATGGTATAAACTTATACAATCGACCTTTTGGAACAGATTGGTCAACACAACGGCTTCTTACATCACAAAAATGCGGATCTATACGAGATCGACTACCAGTACTGGCAGAAGGTTCCAATTCAGATTTAAATATTGATCGATGCCTGGATTATACAAATCCTATGAATCGAATGAATAGATTTGATCATGACAGAGAAATGACAATGAATATGATTTCGTCTACATCTTCATTTATACAAACAAATACTTGATTATAATAATAATAATAATAATAATACTGTTGAGAATAATGTTTTAGTTTGTAAGTAAAATAAGAAAGTCGAATATTTTGGATACTCTCCAATGTTATACAAAACAGATTCTTATTATTATGGCTATTACTATCACTGCATATATATTCAACCATTCACCTTTCTAGGTTAACTATTTCCAATGTAATCTAATCAATAATACACACAGTATTTCAATTTTGCATGAAAATGTTTTGTAAAAAAATGATTATTATTCTTATTCTTATTATTATTGTCCTTAATTGTCGATTTTCATTTGTGGAAAACAAAAACAAGCCTAAACGCATTTGTTTCTTTATCGTTTCACTTTATGTATGTTTATAAGATTGTTTCTTGTTTTAATTTTATAGCTTGTATAAAACATTGAAAATTGAAACAAGTTTTGGGTGTGTATACTATTATGATTCATAGTTATCAATACATTGTTAATCAATCATGTATACTTCATCATTCTGTATATACATGTAATCTGTTTATGCATTCGGTCATAGACATGTGTGTGCGTGTGGGTGTGAGTGTGTAAAGAAAAGTGGTCTATTCTCTCTCTATCTCTGTTCAATTGTTCAATCCATTATTCAATATTCAAAATGAAATGAAATTTCTGCCGTTAAACAATTTATGCTATTGTTGTCGTTGTTGTTGTTGTAGAGTTATTATTTGTTCATGGATATATGAGTAGTAGATAAATAAACTAATTGAGAAGAAAAAATTTGTTTTAATTTCTAATTGTAAAAAATGTCTATTACAACAGTTACAAAATAGTATCCAATAAACAGAATTGAACAATGAACAATATCTGTGGTGTGTGCTACTTATACACGAACGATATAAGTAGTATAAGAAGGGATGTGAAAGAAGAAGATGTTTCACGGTCAGAAGAGGAAAAACAGAAAGCAAATGGAGCAAAAGCAAGAAGTAAATGAGGTACCAACAGGAAGGAAAGGAAGCAACAACAGGAATGGAAGAAGAAGGATGGAGTGTTGGAAGTCAGGACTCAAAGATAGTGTGCAAATAGAGTGTTCAATGTTGTGTTTTCGTTTTTAATTGACTAAGAGTGTAAATTTGCATAATACAATATTCCGCGCCTGCCTCAGTCTTCTCATATCAATTATCAATATAACAGTGGCAAAATAGACGTGGATAAAAATGGATCGATTTATCAGGAAAACAAAGAATTTTCCTTTTTTTGCATTTTAAATGATTTTCTTTCAGGGAATTTTAAACTGCTCAAAATATACTTTCATGTTTTTGTCACCACATTTGTTTATTCAAAATGTTTTGATATTGTTACAATGTTCAATTGTAAGCTGATTGTGATTCTTTTGAAAGTCTATAAAAAAAATAATTTAAATTTCACTATGATCATTGAATGTAGGTTTGTTAACTGATGATTAAGTTAGTTGATTCTAATAACCACCAGATTAAATTTACACGTCACCTTGAATACATAGAATGAGTGCAAAGTGCACAACTAAATACTAGTGATGAAGATTTACTTGACTTTCGAAAGAATGGAAAATGATTTAGGAATACATAGTTAGATTGGTACAAAGTGAACTATGTCGTATTCAAAAAAGAACAGTTCAAAAACTTATCATGTAATCAGATATTTCATTGAAATTAAGAATCGATCATTGTGTGAAACAGCCATTAGAAACCTGGAAGTAGTGAATGGCTTTCACGTTCTTGTAAGGGACTTATCAGATGTGTGCATTCAATTCACAATACCCGCTTGGTTAAATCGAACCCAGGATTATTTTTCTAACGTGTGAACACTTAATCTTCAGACCATTGAGCCAGTATCAAACGGTGTTGAAGCCTAATTATAATTTGAAATCATCAATCAATCATTGTTAGACCACCAGTAGAAACCTGTAAGAACTGAAAGACGGCCGTTTCGTCCTGGTATCGGACTCTTCAGCGGTACGCATCCACGACTCCTGCACCTAGTAGGATTCAAACCCGGGACTTTCAGTATTGAGCGCGAACGCCTAACCATTGGACCACTGGGTCAGTATCTAACGGTGTTATTGTCTAAATCTGATTGATCTATGGATTTTGCGCAACCTCACCCATTTGCCTTCGGTAGTTACTGCCTACACTCGACAGGGCTGAACTCCACCGATCACGTCTTCCCACTACTAAAACTCCGAGAATTTCCTCAAGAAACTAGTCACTGGTGAGCATATTTTACGATATTTTCAATTAGATTTATGGAGATTAGTGTTTTTACACATTTGAAATCATCATTCAATGTGTAAAAACACTAATCTCCATAACTCTAATTGAAAATATCTAATTATAATTATTCCAAGATATTGATCAACCTCACTAATTGTCTTTTGTAATTACTGCCTACACCGGATAGGGTTGAACTCCACTGGTCACAGTTTCTCCCTAGAACCTTGAGAATTTCCTCAAAAAGCTAATCACGAGTGAGCACATTTTATGATTTTTCATTATAGAATTATGGAAATTATTGAGTTTCGACAGCAAATACCAAAGACAATGAATGAGGTTGCACAAGAGTGTGGATTGATTAAAGTTAGACATTAACACTATCTGATATCAGGTCAGTGGTATAGAGGTTAAGAGTTAGCTCCTAAGACCGAAGGTCCTGGGTTCCATTTAAGTGAGGGAGGATCGTGGATGAGTATTTCTGATGAGTCCCATACTAGGACTTAAAGGGCTTCCAGTGCTTCCAGATTCCTAATGTTGGTCTAACAATATTTAGTACATCCGTGCTCACTTACTTTTATACCTGTTACCCCAAATGGTGCATAGGAGGCCGACCATTTCTGGTTAGCGACTTTTTAGCGAGTTGGCTTTCCTCGGATTTTACTCATCGATACACTTTGGTGTATTCAGTAATGCAACAACTCCAAGTTGTCCAGCTTCGAACTCGATTAATTGATAAAACAGAGTTGTTGTACAGGGATCGTGAGAATTCATATATATATATAATGAAGATAAGTGAGAAAACCATTTGTTATCACGGAAGAAAGTAAAAACAATGCCGTTTTCTTGGGTTGAGTCGGATCCGGTGTTATCGGGCCTTGACGATAGGAAACAAGTTATATTGTCTTTTTCCATAGTCTGATTATCAATCAGTTCGCCGATATTTTCCGCAGCTTTCCATTTACCGAATGACACAGCGATCAATATACAAAAACCAAGACTTTAACTCTGATTGGTCTTCCAGCACTTAACCCACTGACCAATCAGAAGACAAAGATCGAAAGCAGTACAGTTTGCTATTGTACTCGATTCAATCATGGCTAAAAACGCCTAAAATAAAATATGGAATAAACTCTTGACCACAAATCAGTGTAATTAAAAGATTACAGTATTGACATAATTAGGCTTTAAATGAAAGAGAACTGAGTAATGGGTCCACTATAAATTAACAATGACTTCAGAAAAGTACAACACACTAGAAAAGTGTATACATTATGAACAGTTTACAAGTAGGAATGTGCAAAAATCCAGTAACTTAAGTATATTATAGTTAAAGATTGAACATAGAAACTAGAACTTCAGGCAAGACAGTGCTAAAAATTCAATTTCCCCTATACCTATTCCGTCATATTAGTTTCCAAATTTATTGAAGTCAGCTGTTAACAGCATAATCACCGAATAAGATAAGACCCTGGATTTACATCCTCTTACAAAAATTAGAATGATGAAAGGAAGAGTTCAAATGATACTCACAAAACTTCGATCATTCCAGTTTCTACCCGACTGCTCTTTATTTTTATAGTATCTTTTCATTTCTACAGCAACATGAATGACTCTTTAGGTCTGCCGTAATGTATAAACATTCCATGTACCTAAATGAATAGTTGCTCTGGTTGTTGGAAGTGGTATAGGCCTTGGAAATTCCAAATAAATTCGGCTTCCATGATGAGACGTCATTACTATTCTAAATGAAGGTCTTCCAATGGTTTGAATTATATTTTCTGGTTAGCGTTTTTTCTAAGCAAGTTAGTTTTCTACGGGATGGAATATCTAACTCCTTCGTCAGGGCTTGTAACCGGTAGTAACTCCAGAACGACTAAAGGCCGATTTGTCTAGTTTTACTGTATGGATTAAATGAGATACAACCTAACGTTCAGATGCTTAACTTTATTTCATCGAAAATCATTCCAGTCTATCAGAAAGAACAGAAAGCCCCTTGAGATAATCTCAAGAGAATAACTTTAATCAGGATGATGCTTACACTGTTTAACACATAATCATTATGCTACATAAAAATTGATTCTTCAACATCTGGGAAACTTTGATCAATGTTCATTTTAACAACACACAAAACAAAACTGCACCAGAAAACAATTATCGATTTTTTAATAATAACCAGTAGCATGATGAATAATCTTCTCTATCTGATGACACGTAAACACATATTGATACGTTGAGATGGTATGAAATAAAACAAAATATTTACACAAATTTTCTAAAGTACAAAGTATACAGCTAAAGAAAATTTATCTTAATTGATTAACGATTACAAACGTTAAAGAACACAACTCACTGACTACATTGTATAAACTAAGTCCAGTAATGTTTAATAGCCTATCAAATTATCTCTAGTTTGTTTACACTGAATAAACAATCAATGAATCATTGAACATTGAATTCAACAAACAAGTTTTTGTTTTGTACATTTCAAAAATAAGTGATACTTTGAATGATAAACCACATTTCATTATTGATGTGTTTATTTAAAACAAAATGTATACAGTGTGTGGACATTGAACATTCAAAACAAATACTTCAATTCAATATTGAGAACTGATCAATATTCAAGTGTATACTGTATTTTCTTGAACAATAATTCAGCAGTTTTTAAAAATATACTAATTTAAAAAAAAATAGATCAATAACAAATGAATTTTAAACAAATTCTTGGAATTTTTAAAATAAATTATTCATTTTGTTTTAATGAATAGAAAAAACACAGT